TGCTTCCATCTGCTGAAAAGCTTTATGGAGATGAAGATTTCATTTCCTCCCTGGGCTGCCACCTTACCGTGGTGGAGGGGTTTGAGTGTCCCAATGATCCTAGGAGCTATGCTGTCAGGGGCATTACGCCCCTAGTAGGGTCACCCATGGCAGACAGGTCCTAGGTGAGGGACCAGACAAAGTTGGACTCCGCCTAGGTTGCCCTTTGTCACCGATTCTGTTCATAACTTTTATGGACAGAATTTCTAGGCGCAGCCAAGGTGTTGAGGGGATCCGTTTTGGTGGCCTTAGGATTGCGTCTCTGCTTTTTGCAGATGATGTGGTCCTATTGGCTTCATCAGATCGTGATCTACAGCTTTCGCTGGAGCGGTTTGCAGCCAAATGTGACGCGGCTGGGATGAAGATCAGTTCCTCGAAATACAAGGTCATGGTCTTGAGACGGAAAAGGGTAGAGTGCGCTCTCCGGTTCAGGGAGGAGGTCCTACCCCAAGTGAAGGAGTTCAAGTATCTTGGGGTCTTGTTCACGAATGAGGGGAAAATGGAGCGTGAGCTCGATAGGCGGATAGGTGCAGCGTCTGCAGTGAAGCGGGCACTGTACAGGTCTGTCATGATGAAAAGAGAGCTGAGTCAAAAGGCAAAGCTCTCAATTTACCGATCGATCTACGTTCCCACCCTCATCTATGGTCACAAGCTTTGGGTTGTGACCGAAAGAACGAGACCTCGGATACAAGCGGCCGAAATAAGTTTTCTCCGCAGGATGTCTGGGCTCTCCCTTAGAGCTAGGGTGAGAAGCTCGATCATCCGGGAGGGACTCAGAGTAGAGCCGCTGCTTCTCCACGTCGAGAGGAGCCAGTTGAGGTGGCTTGGGCATCTGTTTAGGATGCCTCCTGGACGCCTCCCTGGTGAGGTGTTCTGGACATGTCCCACCGGAAGGAGGCCCAGAGGAAGACCCAGGACACGCTGGAGGGACTATGTTTCTCGGCTGGCCTGGGAACGCCTCGGGATTCCCCCGGAGGAGCTGGACCAAGTGGCTGGGGAGAAGGAAGTCTGGGCCTCCCTACTTAGGCTGCTACCCCCGCGACCCGACCCCGGATAAGCAGAAGATAATGGATGGATAATGGATGGATGGATATATATATATATATATATATAAAACAGTTCAATATTCATCTGCTCTTTTGCACACAACTCTTAAGAAAAAAGCATTTTCAATTCAACAGTTCCTATTTCCTACAACAAATTGCAAGCATGAATTGAAATTGAATAGAACCTATTTACTTTTATGTTGCCGGTCACATTCAAAATGCTGACACCTTGCCATTTGAAAAGATGGGCTCCTCTAAATTCTTCATTTCAGGCACCACAAACAAGACAAAATGTTACCAATAGTAATAGGGCTGAGATGGTGTAGGGGCAGGGCAGCCAACCCGGAGGTTCAAGCCCCGGTCATTGCACATCTCATGGTGTCCCTGAGCAGAACACCTAATCCACTTACACAACATACACAAAGCTTACATAGCTGCCCACTGCTCCACCTGGGTGTATCCCAGGTGCAAAGGGTTAACTGCAGAGAGACAACTTCATCTTTGCTTGGGAACATACAATGATGACGACACATAGCACCTTATTTATTTATTATTATTATTTAAATCAATACAATGACCTGTTGATTGTCAAAGAGAAAACTGTAAAGTTTTTCAGTTCGTATTGATTAATGCAGAAAATCAAGTTACCTACCTTATATTCAATGTTTCCTTCTTCGGCCTAGAAATGAAAAACAAAAGACAGGTGTGGTTTGAGATTAAATTATTTTGGAAAAAAAATAAAAAATGGTCAAATCACATTAGGAGATTACTGTAAATGCCTACTATTTCTTAAATAATTGCATGTTGCCCATCACTTCTCATGCCAAAGTTTTAGGCTAAAATCATCACAGGCTGATAAATGATAGGGCTGTGGCCGTTTTAGTGAAACCAAGAAAAAACACACGCACCATCTCATGTGATCTAAAACAGTTCAGTCTGGTCCTCTGGACATTCAAAAAACAAAACAAAAAAAATGTAGAAACGTTTCGTCTCTCATCCAGAAGACTTCCTCAGTCTGAGGTGCTGTATTCAGCTCAGTCTCTTAAATAGCACCTTCTCAGAGTTGTAGTATGACATATCCTGAGATATATTCATACTGTTAAAACGGGTTCTTTCATTTTTCTGGACTGTGTATCAACGTGCGTTGAATGTAATAAAAATGTGGACGTGAGACGTTAATTATCTTTGACTCACCACGACAGTGGGTCATTTATTAACAGAATCAAGTTTAACACATCACACATTTACATTAATTAGCAAGAATTGAAAAATAACGACATAATTAATCAGCTTTACAACCAGG